GCCCTCACGTTGGGCGTATGCCAGGGGCTGGGCTTCTGAGCCCGAGGCACTCACATAGCGATGCCACAGGTCGGTGCGGACTCTTGTGGCCCGTAGGGCTGTCCCTCCCCGCTGCTGCCGGCGCGGCCCTGCCGCCGCTGCCTGAGCCGCAGGCGCCGCGGCCGCTTCGCAGCGCAATTTTCTGCAGACGTAAACTCGCTTAGTGTCTCGGAAAATTCGTTGGGAAGGGCCGCTGTTCCTATTGATTCAATTGTGGCCTTACTTGTTGTTGTCCCCTCGGGCTGATAAGGAGGTCAGGTTTGCTGGTTTTCGAAACTCGATTCATTTGGAAGGGATCTGGTTGGGGTCCCGTGCCCGGGACTTCCGATCCTGCGGCTGCCACGCGCGCGCGTTCGCTTGCAGCTGTTGGGCCCGAAGGGCCCCTACAGCCCAGCAGGGAGTCGGGGTTTCATCCCTCGATTTCCCCACCCTCCCACCCCCCTTTGGGCGCATGCCGGGGGCTGGGCTTCTGAGCCCGAGGCGCTCGCATAGCGATGCCACAGGTCGGTGCGGGCTCTTGTGGCCCGTAGGGCTGTCCCTCCCCGCTGCTGCCGGCGCGGCCCTGCCGCCGCTGCCTGAGCCGCAGGCGCCGCGGCCGCTTCGCAGCGCAATTTTCTAAACGGGGTTCTCGCCGGACACCTCGTTGAATTTCATGGTCCTGTATTCGCGCAGTCTTTACCGCAGTGACGCCTGGCGTCGCCACATGGGCGTTCCCGACGCGGGCACTCCGGCTAGTTTGTTCTATGCTCTAGGTTTTCCGCCGCGCGATGGGCGCGATCCCCGCGGCTACGACGACAGCGCCGCTTCGAGCCTCCTCGCCACCGATGCACTCGGCTGGCCCCTCGGGACGGCTCGGGCAGCACCGCGGGGACGTATTTGGCGCCCTTCCCCGTCTGGAACGCACGAACCTTCTTCGCCCAGGCGCCCTTTCCCGGGATGAAGTTAAGTTCGAGTACGTACGGTCCTTGCCCAGCCGCGCGCAGGTGGCACGACAGGAATTCACAGTGTGTTGCGCCCCCCAATGGGCATCACAGCATGGTGGTCCCCTGGGGCAAGCACAGGTTATGCGGGCGTCTGGTTCTTTATCAAAGACCTGCTCTGGGCCCGCTTCGGCGCACGCAAACGATTCCGCGGGTGATTATCAGCGGAAGGGCGGCTAAACTCGAGTTGAGAGGGCCTGAGGGCGCGATGGACTTCGTCGTGGCTTACTTTCCGACGGGCAACTGGCCGCACGGCCACGACGTCTTCGGCGTCTCAGATGCGGCGCGTCGCCCTCCTTCCCACAAAACTCCGACGCTGCCTGCGCGTTCGACTGACCCGCGCGATTGCGCCGCGCGCTTCGGCGTTGAATATCTTCGGGGGCGACTTCAATTACGCCACGGACGAGTACGACCAGTATGTGACGACGTCGGGAGTCAGCTTTTGCATGACGGACAAGTATGAGGAGAAACGTTTTCAGGAGGTGCTCGGCGCGCGAATCAGCATGGCCGACATGCTCCAACCCGAACCAACTCCCGCACCGACGGGATCGAGGGTTCGGCTGGACAGGACTTGCACGAATCGCGTCATGATTGACCAGCTGGACCGTTGCTTCCGCTCCGTGGCGTTGGAGTGGCAGCCCCATTTGTCAGCGCACATGCCGATGCTGGTATCCCGCTCCCTCCCACGATGCCAAGACCTGGCTGAGAAACGCATCGCCCCCCAGCACCCCGACTTCATGCGGCGGGGGCAGGAGCCCGCCGATCAGCTCGCAGCCGCCCCCCTCGGATTCGCCCATGGATAAGCTGATGCTTTTCGAGGCAGCTATCAGGTGAGTCGCTGAAGTTCGCCCGCCCCGCGGGGCGCGGGCTGCCCGGGGGGCCTATTGCAGTGCGTCGTGCAGTGCCCCGCCTTCCGGAACAAGATCGCGAACCCTCGCGACATCTCGGGCAAGCTGCTGGCGCGTCGGCGCGAACGACGACGGCGCGCCGCGGGCCCGGCGAGGGGCCGCGCCTTGGACGAGTTGGCGGCCGCTTGGGCCGGCGAGGAGGATCAGACCCGATTGCGGGGGGGGCCGCCCCTCGGCCGCGCCCTCCGCGCCCGCGAGCGCGGTGCTCGTCTGCCTCGGCTGCTGCAGCGGCTGGCTCCTGGCCGCGCGGCGGGCGCCTGGGCCGTCGCCGACGACAGGGGCAACGCGCCGACTGGCGCCTGCGCCATCGCGCTGGGGGCGTGGAATCATTGGCAGAAGGCGTTTTCGAGGGGGGGGGGGGGGGAACTGGGGGCGCAGCGAAGGCTGCAGAAAAGGAGCCCTTTGGGGCCCCAAAGGGGGCCACTTGGGCCCGACAAGGCACCTTTCCCCCCCGCCATTCGTCGCCCTCCCCATTCACTCGCGCCCAAGTCTTCCAGGCCAAGGGGCGCCACTCGCAGCTGATATGAGGGCTGGCTTGAGAACGATCGCCGGGCGAGACCCCCAGAGGGCGGTTTCCCCGAGCTCCCCAGGTGCCTCTGCTTGATCCGGCGACGCATTCACCGTGCCCTCCGCATCACGGGCAACGCTTCGCCCAGGCCCGATGGAATCCCCATTTGGGTGTGGCGCTGCTTCGGCGCCGCCGCTGCGGACCTCTCATGCGGGGCGTTTCAGGGCCTCGCGGCGGCGGGCGCTACGAGAGAGACGGAGGCCGTGGGGTTGAAGTTCAACAAGAGCTCGTGTTCCTGCTTCCAAAGATGGCCGCGCGGCACGTGGCAGGGCTCATTTCGATTCCTCCGATTCGATTCGAGTTCGCGAGGTACCGAGTCTGACCCGGTTCGATTTCGGGCTCCGGTTCGGGACCCGACCTTTCAACGGAGGCCTCTGAGTTTGCGGGTGTCCGCTGATTCGACTTCTCCCGAGTCGGCTGCCGATTTCCGCCGATCCGATTCATTTCGATCGCCGATCTGATGTTCCACAGTGCCGTTTTTAATGCATGCTCCGCGCGCGGATCGTGCATTAAAAATGCAGGGAATTAGCATTAAAAGCAACGATGAGTTCATGCACACATGTATTGATACATTGATCACGTATGCAAAAATCAGATCTTTTTAAGAACCCCATGTCTTAAAAACGGCACTGTGCCGAGAGGATCGTGGGTCCTCTTGCAGACTCTTGCGCGCGGGGCGGGGGCGCGGCAGTCTTCCGCGCAGCCAGCGCGCGGCCCCCGAACGTCGCAGGCCCCGACAGCCAGAGCAGCGCGAGCGCGGTGCGCCCAATGGTGGAGCCCGCGCTTTCGCCCAGAATTGTCCGGGGGCCTCGCGCCCCGCGGCGGACCCACGGAGGGTCCATTATGAGTGATTCATTTATTTTGTACGCGCTGGCCGTCCAGACCGTTGCGGCGCGTGCCCAGCGAGGCTCAGTCCGTGGTTTCACATTCGCCTAGCCGCGCTGGTCATCTGCAGCGGTCCGTTCCCGCCCCCCCCCCAACAACAAAAAATTGTGGCCCGCGCGGCTGTCGGGAGGGGCGGTCGAGGTTGGCAAGCGTGGTGGCTTTCGAGGGCGCCCTCTCGCCGCACGAGCGCCTCGCGTGCTTCTTGGACTTCCGAGCCGCGCTCCCCGCGGTGGAGCGCGCTTGCGCGATGGGGCGACCCCGCCCCCGCAGTACGGCGCTAGCGAAAGCGCGGCCTGCTGCAAGGCCGCGGGGCGTGCCAGCCGCGAAGCGATCAGAGGCGGGCCCTCAGAAGACGATGATGATGATGCCAGCTGCGCAGCTCTCTTTTTGCCGCTGCGCTGGCCGCACGCTCCCGCTGGCGCTGTCGGCGCCAGGCGGACCCCTCCTTCCGCCGCGCGAAGCGGGCCTCGCCGCGGTGCCTTCAGACGCCGAGGCGAAGCCCAGGGTGGGCGGGCAAAAGTGGGCCCGTTGGGGCCCTGGGAGGGCTTTGAGCCCCGAAGGCTCGAGCGGGAGAGAGGGAGAGAGAGGAGCAAGCAGAGGCAAGGGCAGGGAGAAAGAGGAAAACCCAAGCCGACTGGGGAGGGCGGGGTCCAACCGTTTAGGACAAACAACTGAGACCCCGCCCCCACAGTACGGCGCTAGCGAAAGCGCGGCCTGCTGTAAGGCCGCGGGGCGTGCCAGCCGCGAAGCGGTCAGAGGCGGGCCCTCATAAGACGATGATGATGATGCCAGCTGCGCAGCTCTCTCTTTTTGCTGCTGCGCTGGCCGCACGCTCCCGCCGGCGCTGTCGGCGCCAGGCGGACCCCTCCTTCCGCCGCGCGAAGCGTGCCTCGCCGCCAGCATTGCTGCGCGGGCGCCGTGGTTGGCGCCATCAAAATTGGGTGCCAGGCTCTGCGCAGCCGGCACCATCTAGACTCTGGGTCGCGCACAGCCGGGCGCAGGCGCCGGCGCGCGCGCGGGGCCCAACTGGCCCTCCTGCCGGCCGATCGCCGCCAGGCAGCTGATGCCGGCGTGCACGGCTGTCCTCCGTGAGGCTAGGCCGGGGCTCACGCTGGCGCACTGATTGCCGGCGGAGCCCTGGGCGTTCTGGGCGGGCAGGGTCCGGCCCCTGACAGAGGGGGTTCCCCGGGCCAGCGCTGGTGTGCGGGCCCGCACCCCGCGCTTGAATTCTGGTGCCGCGGGCTACGCTGGGCTGTCAGGCCGTCAGCTGCCGCGACCTGCGCTGGCTGCAGTGCGCCTGGCACGACCAGGCTCGACGAGAGGAGCCGGCGCGCCAGGCGGGCCCAGCATGGCCCCTGTTCGGCCATTGCAGAGGGCGCCCACAGTATCCCAAGCACTAGTGGAGCCCGAAGCGGGCAAGCCCGCGCGCGCATGACAGCGCGAGAGCATTGGCCAGTGCTAGAGGCACGGGCCGGGGATGTCCTGCGGACGCGCGGCTGGTATGCCGGCGGCGCGGGTGTTGAGTTGCAGCATCCAAGCGCGCGCGGCGGTCAGGCCGGCGGCTTGGGCTGGGCGCGCGCCAGGTGCACCTGCACCGGCGGCGCCCGCCGCGGCCCCTCGTCATGGGCTCTCACGCCTGGCGCTCTCGGCGCCGGCGGCGGCCCTGGCGGGGGCGCCGTCCTTCGCCGGGTTGGTCAGCGAGGAGGTGCCCCTGGCCATCTTGCTGGAATCGCCCTTCATCGGCTCGTGCGACTCCCACAGGTAGCCGTGGAACGCGTCTGACTGCCAGCGCCCGAACCAGCGCACCCGGGAGAGGTCTTCGGACACGTGGTACATCGCGGTCGCTCCGCCGATCCTCAAGGAGCGGCTGCCGATCTCCTCCCTGGAGAGCCCGGCGGCCAGCCCCGCGACCGTCAGGAAGTGCTGCACCTCGGCCCTGCGAATCGGGGTACCTGATGCCCAGCGGAAAATGGGCAGCCGTTTTTCGGTGCCCTTTATCCGCTGGGGATGGTGAGCCTGGAGCCGCTCCATCGCCGCGATAGGGCAGAGCGTCGTGCCGGCGCGGTAGTGGTTCCTCACCGTCCCGACGTTGAGTTGGTCCGTCTTGCTGCCCTTGATGTAGATCACCATCTCGTCGGCGTCCTGGAAGCTGGGCACGCGTTTGCCGGCCTTTCTGGGCTCTACGTCCTCCCTTTGCAGCACGCGCTCGAAGGACCACGAGCGCCCGTCCTGGAGGAGGTACTCTGAGGCCCGCAGGAGGAAGAATAACGCCGTCACGATCGCCGCCCAGATGACCACTGTGTCCTTCTCGGGGAGCTTGGCCTCCTGCTGGAGGAAGCCGCGGAGCCACTCGAGCATGGCTGGGGTGACGGGTTTCTTCCGCTTGGTCTCGGGTCCTTGCCAGCGTTTGAGTCCCGCCAGGGTGCTCCAGAGGCGACCCCTTGTGGAGCAGGGGGTCTGAGTGGCCAGCCACCAGGTGAGCGTAGCGCACCGCAAAGAGCTTCTGCTTGATGGCCCCTTCCGTCCTCCCGACGACCCGCGCGAGAAGGACGGCGAAGTTGATGAGCGCCTCCTCATCGGCTAGGCGTTCCTCGCGGTCGCGCCCTGGGAGCCAAGGGCTAAGCCCCTGCGCCTGGCGCACGGCTACCCAGAGCCGCCATCCCCCCTCGTAGCCCGCTCTCGTGCCTTCGCTGAGTTTTTGCAGCATGGCCTCCATCTTCTGTTGCGCGAACCAGCTGGCGTAGGGGCGCCCCGCCTGGCTCAGCTCGGCCGGCGGGGGCGAGCTCCTTCCCGGGGTTGTTGCTCTTCCTCGCGATGCCCAGCGCCTGCGGCTTCACCAGGTTGGCAGCCGGCATCTCCTTGGCTCGTCGGGGGCTCTTCTTGCGTGGGCTCTTCGAGCGGGTCACTCGCTTGTCCAGCTTGACCGCCTCTGCGGCTTGGGCCTCGCGAGGTCCGATGATCGTGTCCTCGTCGATCTCCCGGAAGCGGATCGCCTGGGCACGCCGGCGATTCTTGTGCATCTCGTCGGTGAGTGCGCCGCCTGCCCTTGCCTCGTCCTCCGCCGCCAGCGCGAGCGTGGGTCGATCCGGCGCTTGCGCCCAGGCACGGAACCAGCGCTTGGTGGCCTCCCACGCGGCCTGCTCCTTTGGGTCATGGCATGCACCAGCGCGCTGCGTGCTGGTGCTGCTGAGAGCCTCCGCCACTGCGCCCAGCACCGCCTCTGCGGTCCTCGGTGGGAGGGCTCTGGCTGCGCCCTTCAGGAGTTCATCCTCCGCGGAGCCCTGGGCCTGCAGGCTGGTCCACTCGTCGTCGGTCCCTCCTTGCACCCTCCAAACCTCTTGGGGTGTCAAGGCTCGGACCGTGCCTTTGCCTCCCCCGGTGACCCGGAGGAGCGTGGCGCCTGGGCCTTGGGGTCCTGTCTCGGGCCAACGGACGGTGCCCACGGGCCACTCTTCGCTATAGATCAGGTGCTTCACCCCGTCCTTCTTGAGGTGGCCGACCGGCTTGAGGAGGAGAGGGTCGCTGGTGGACTGGATGCGGGGGTCCCACGACACCTCGCCTTGCTGGTCGAGCCAAAGGTGGTCCCTCCCTCTGTCCAAAAGTGGCTTGATGCCGGCAGCCCGCGAGCAGGCCGGCGGCATGTTAATGCTCGCCAGGCCTGCTCCCGTCTTCCGACGTCCGCCTGTGGGCACCTGCCTGGCCCGCGTAGTGATATCCCCGTGGTGCGTGCAGATTACCTCGAGCTTCACGACCACGTAGCCCAGCTGCTTGAGCGCCTTCTCGAGCCTGGCCGTGTCCACGCCGTTCGGGGCGTCCACGATCACCACTTCGGGGCTCTCGCTGGTCGCTGCAACGAGGAACGCCTCCATCTCTCGGCCCCTGGGGTCCAGGGACAGCGATGCCATGAGCCAGTCTGCCTTCTGGTTTTCCCCGGGCTCTGACCCACCAAGGCGTTTGAGGACCTTCACGTAGGGGTTGAGGAGGCTCCCTACCTCTCTGCCCAGCTTCCCGTGGAGTGGGAAGGGGTCTTGGCGGCCCATGCCCCCTCTGGAGTGCTCGGTGTCGCAGGGCGGCCTCGGCCACTGGGCCCGTCTCCCCTGGGAGACGGAGGAGGCGTTCCTTGGCGTCCTCCAGGATCTGGCCCCGAGCTGCAGGGGGCTCGAGGCGCTCCCACCCCTCGGTGGCAGACGTGTCGTGAACCTTCTTGACCTCCTCGCGGGTGAGCCAGTCGGCCACCTCGTTGTGGTAGGTCCGAACGAAGAAGGAGGTTATGCGGCATCCGTGCATGGCTTCGATCCGCTCCACTAGGCGAATCAGGTGGCGTGCGAGGGTATTCTTGGGGCTCCTCTTAGTGAGCCACGCTTTCACGTTCTGATTGTCCGTGACGTAGAAGACCAGCTCACCCTCCCACTTCGGGCCCTGCTTCGTAGCCAGCGCGACCGCCGCCAACAGTTCGACCACTGCGATGATCCAGTCCTCCTCGCTGCTCTCCCCCCCGACCGCCTGGCTCAAGGCCTCGATCAGGGGCTTGGCGTCCGCGGCCATGTACTCCGGCCTGGGTGGGGCTCCTTCTGCAGTTGCACGTCCCCAGTCGATGGCGCCGATCGACGAGGTGGTGGCGTCGCCGCCTGTCCATCTCGTAGCGCGTGCTGTTCCCGGCAACGCGAGGCACGCACGGAGAGCGCCTGCGTGAAACTCGCCTGGAAGGTCGTGCTCCAAGCCTCGGGGACGTCGAAGAGCATCCTCAGGAGCTCACGGAGGCGTCCCACTCTTCCCAGGCGAGCTCGACCTCTTCGGGGGTACCTTTTGGCTCTGCCCAGCTCGTCCCGCTGCTCAAGAGCCGGTCCAGGGCTGGTAGCTCAGGACGGAGGGCAGGCTGCGCTGATGCCCAGAACTGAGCACAGCCTCGCAGCTCTTGGGCGACCTTTAGCGGTACCCGCCGTGATCCTCTGAGCTCTGGGAGGGCGAGCAAGTACTGGGCCTTGATGCACTTAGGCTCTGGGAGCCTGACCACCTCCGTGTTGAAGTTCATGTGGAGGCCCCAGATCAGCTGCTCGGCGGCGAATTCCCCCTCGACGTCCAGCTTTTCCTCGTTGACCGCGTCCGGGCCCCAGACCCGCTTCATGGCCCCGTCGAGCTCTTCGGCCGAGAGCCAGGGCCTGAGGCCCACCAGTGGTTCGAGGACAACACCGTCGTCCATCAACCACTTGGAAGCGTACTTGACGGTGTCGTTCACATTGGGCGCCGGCGGCTTCCTCCTCTCATGCTCGTTCTTGGCCGCCCAGGCGAACGCCATGTACTCTCCTGGGCTGCCGGCCCAGCCGAAGACCAGCACGCCTTGGATGAGGATCACTCGCCCTGGCACCCCGACCTCTTTGCCCGGGAGCGTCGTCCCGAACTCGGGTACCGCTGCCGGTTCCAGGTGGTGCCACTTGAAGGCCCTGGCCACATCCCTCTTCGCGACCACCTGTTGAACGCCTGGGTGCCTTGCCTCCCACCAGAGGCTGAGTCGAGCAAGCCCTCTGTGGAGGGGCTGCTTGGCGGGCGGGTGCTGCTCCTTCGGGGAGAAGGCGTTGGCCGCGCGCATGTCGTGGATCGGCCGGCCCTCCTTCGAGATGGTCCGGTCCGGCAGCATCTCGGGGGCCCTCCCGCTGGGCGACTCGACCAGAGCCGAGGCGGCGAGCACATCTTCGACCTCGTCTGAGGCCCAAAGGACCACGCCGTAGCGACTGTCCTTCCAGGCCTTCTCGAAGATCTCCAGGGCGTGGTCCACCGCTGAAGACTGGGACTTGGCCTGCGTGCGCACCCGCTCCTCCGTGCGCCGCACGGGGACTCCTCTGGCCATCGCTCGGAGGTAGGCGGCGTGGTGTGGGTCCAAGGACTTCTGCGCGTCTTCCTCGAGCACGCCGCCCAGCGGGTTGCCATGGATCTCCTCTCGCGCGTGCTTCAGCAGCTCGGCGGCCCTCTCCACGCTGCCGGCGAGTCGGAGGAGAGAGTTACCTCGTCGCACCACCTCGGGGACCCTCTCGGGCTGGAAGCCTGGGTGGTCGGCGCACCACTTGACGTAGGCTCGCGCCTCCTCTTGCCCCTTCCCTCCGCCAGCGGCTGCCGGTGTCTCCTCCAGCGGGGGGCCTCCGCAGCGGCCTCCTCCGCGCGGGGGAGCTGGCCGTGGCGGTGGCATCATTGGCGGCATGCCTGGCGGCCGGCAGATCTGGCCGGGGAGGAGCGGGCGCCATCCTCTCGGCCTCAGCAACGGCTGGACCGCGTGGGGCTGAGGCACGGGCGGCCCCGCGGACTCATCCTGGCGAGGCTTGGGCTGCGGGGGGCGCCCTTTGGAGGTGGCTCGCAAGCGGGCGCCCAGCGATCCTGGCCTGGGCCCAGGCGCGGGCGCCCCCTCTGGTGCTTCCGTGCTGCCGGCGTCTGCCCCCCCAGTGGGTGGGCCTCCGCTTGAGGTCCCCGACCTGCCCGCGGCCCGCCTGGCTGCTTCCACGACTGTCTCCGCCGGGCGACTCCGCCTCATGGGTGTTGCTTTCTGGGGGATCGCTTTGGTGGGTTTGCTCTGCGGGGGACTGGTCGGGTTGGGGGAAGCTTCGAGAGCTTCCGGCGGTGGCGGCGCGTCGGGCGGGCTGGGCCTCCGCTGCCGCTCGCGCCAGGAGAGCTCCGGAAAGGTTTCTCCTTCCCTCGCTCGGCGGTGTCTGCGCGTCCTGGCCAGAGGCTCAGGGGGTCTGAGTCCTCTGGGATGGGTGGGGCTGGTCCTGTCCGCGCCCCCGCGTACGGCTCCTCCACTGCTTCGCTTTCCGAGCTCTCGACGAGGGCTGCGTCGTCTCTCGGGGGGTCCTCCTCTGCCTTCTCGTGCGCGGTTCTCTGGCGCTTCTTCGCAGGGGTGTCGTCCAGCCCTCCCGCTCTTGCCATCTTGCGGGTCAGCTTCTCAAGGATGTCGACGTACTCGCCCGCGATCTCTCCTTGCTCCTCATAAGGGGTGCCAGTTCAGCTCCGCGGCAGGTCCTCAAACATGGAGCGGATGCCCTCGATCAGGAGCTCGCGGGCCTTCCTCCTCCGCTCTGGCCCCGTGGGATCGCTGGCCGGGACCCCGAGCAGGTTGTTCAGGATGCACTCCGCCTCGTGGCACTTGTTCTCCCCATTTAGGATGGCCGATGGTAGGGGGGTCTCGTCCTCCCAGGCCGGGTCGAGCGGGGTGGCCACGTTCTGTCCGCTGGGAGGTTCGGAGCTAGCACGGCGGGGATGCCTGGCTGGCGTCTGCCCCTCATCACGCTCGCCGGCATCCCTCGCTCGACGAGCTCGCCGGCGCTCCTTTGCCTCTGCCAGCTGTATCTGCAGCTCCCTGATGCGCTTCTCCT